CACACACACACACACACACGCGTGCCAGACTCCTCCTGAGCCCTAAAGCCTAAATGAGAGCCCTAAACCCCCAACCCTACGCCCCCAGCTGCCCTACCTCGTAGGGTTTGGGGTTTAGGGTTTAGGGTTTAGGGTGTAGGGTGTAGGGTTTAGGGTTTAGGTGGAAAAGGCTTCCACCAGGAACCATAGCGTCTTACAAACCTCATCATGAGTGAACTTAGGAGCCAGACACACTATAAGACTCCACTTAGGGGCAATAAATGCACGGAGTGAGCCTTGACCTTTCAACCGTGTAGACCTTGAACTCTAAACCTCGAACCCGCAACCTTCAACACTAAAAGCCATAAGCCGCATGCTCGTCACCTCAACCGCTTCTAAAATCCCTAAACCCTAAAACCCCCAAATCCCCAAATCCCTGCACCCTAGCCTTGGACCCTAAACCCGCTACATCCCTAAATCCTTAAACCTTAAAACTGAGACCCACCTTTGACCCCAAGAGCCCTGAAGTCTTCCCAGAGCTTTAAATCCTCAACCCCAAACCCTAAACCCTAAACCCTAAACCCTAAACCCTAAACCCTAAACCCTAAACCCTAGCATTTGTGAGGCCACCTTGGACTCAAAGGGCGGCCTGCGAGTTCCCGAAGGGGAGGTGGATCTCTAGGAATCTACCCATAGTTAGGGTTTAGGGTTTAGGGTTTAGGGTTTAGGGTTTAGGGTTTAGGGTTCAGGGTTTAGGGTTTAGGGTTTAGGGCCCCAGAGTAGTTCCTTTTGGGGATTACCTTAGAGGATTCTAAAAATGAACCCCCAAAAAGGAACTACCTTAGGGCCTATGGGTAGAACCCAGAGAACCCAATACCCCTCAATTAAGGAAGATACCTTAAATTATAGGATCTGTTTATCATATGATTTAAGGTATATTCCTTAATTAAGGGGTATTGGGTTCTCTGGGACGGGGGATCTATAGGGATCTATAGGAATCTAGAACGGGGCATCTGTGGGGCTCCAAGTCTAGGGTTCATTCTTTTGGGGGTTTGGTTTAGGTTCAGGGTTTAGGGTTTAGGTTTAGGGTTTAGAGTTTAGGGTTTAAGGTGGATCTCTAGGAATCTAGAAGATCTATCTAGGTCTCGGGGTTTCGTCTTTCGGGTTTAGGGTTTTCTGAAGCAGTGCTGTCGCTGTAGTACAATGTGCCCCACGACGACCCTATTCTACATACGAAGACACCTATACTAGAATCATTCTTCAGCTTTCTGTGGTCTGCTCCCTAAACCTAAACCTAATCCCTAGATCGTACAACGCTTATCATGCTTTGGGGTGTAGGGGTTTAGGGTTTATTGTTTAGGGTTTAGGGTTTAGGCTACATAGGTTTTTTTGGTGGGGTGTTTGAACCATAAGTTCGGAACTCTAAGTTCGAACTTCGAGTTCTCAAAGTTCCAACTCAGAGTTCGGGGCCGAGAACTCTGGGTTCGAATAGACATGTTGGCCTAGAGCCCTGAATTCGAACTCTAAATTCAACTTCGAGTTCAACTCCGTTTTTGAACTTCTGAACTTCCAGTTCAGCTCAAGTTCGAACTCTATTTTCTCAAACGTTAGAACTCTAAGTTCGAATCCAGAACTCTGGTGATTAAGGCCTAAATTCGAACACTGGCAGAACTCTGGAGTTTTAAACCCTAGATTCGAACACTGGTGTTCAAACCAGAATTCGAACGCCCGTGTTCAAACTCCAAATCCGAACACCCAAGTTCGAACTCTGGGTTCAAACACTAGAGTTGAGTTCGAACACCAGAGTTCAAAGTTTGCACTTACATAATTTGAATGTGTGGATCAAAATTTATTTTTTGGTCAAACTTGAACAGGATATCTGGACTGTTACTGGGGTATTTCAAAGTTTGATGCTGCTTCGCCAACGAAACAGAAAATCATTCTTTCAAAGTTTGATTCCTTTAGCGTCTTTCTGCAGTTGTGCTAAACTTGATCAATGGCCAGGCTCTCTGAGCAAAATCCTTTCCGTTAGAGCCATTCCACTTGCTCAGGGCAGTTTCGGCGCGTAACCCTAAACTCTGAAACCCTACACCCTAAACTCTCAACTCTGAAACCCTGAGCGCTAAACTCTGAAACCCTGAACCCTAAGCCCTAAACTCTGAAACCCTACATCCTAAACCCTCAACTCTGAAACCCTGAGCGCTAAACTCTGAAACCCTGAACCCTAAACCCTGAGCTCTGAAACCCTAAACCCTAAACTCTGATACCCCAAACCCTAAACGCTAAACACTGAAACCCTAAGCCCTAAATCCTATACGCCCCACAGCCCCATCATCTTCGAGGTCTCCGTGGTCTACTACCGGGCGGGCTACAGCCCGGATGATTACCCGAGCGAGTCAGAGTGGGCTGCACGCAAAGTCCTAGAGCAGTCGGGAGGCTCAGTCGTGGGAAACGGGTTCTGTGCTCTGTTCTATATAGAAAAGGCTATGACAAGGGTTTCAAAAAAATGGAGTTTTAAGGGTCCAGAAGACTTAGACATTAAATGTTTGAGTCTAGGATTGTAGTGATGGGCTAGTAGTGCTGATAGTAATCTAGGTTCATGGTGGGAGGCGGGAGGAGTATATGATTAATATAGGGGCCTTAATAATTAGAATATGGTTTGGGGTGTTCTTTACTTTAATGATAGTATAATATACCCCCAAACCCTATTCTAATTAGTAAGGCCCTTACATTATATGATTATTCGGTCCTGGGGCCCTTTGCGGGAAGATGAGTGGACAACCTTGGGTTCAAGGCTCCCACCACCCACTTTAAGAGGTCGAAGCCAAGTAAAAAGTGGCCAGCGAGCAAGCTGGCACGACAAGGTATAGGGTTTATCATTTTCCCGAATGCTTCTACCAAGCTGACTATGAACCCTTGCCTGGCTGTCCAGGACAAGAATCCTCAGGGATATTCGAGTTTAGGGCTAGAGTGAACCTCAACCCGAAAACCGAAGCCCTATAAACCCTATCAGCCCGAAGCCCTAGAAGCCCTAAGCCCTATACCCTAAACCCGGATCCCCACAACCTCTAAACTAAAGTTCTCGACCATGAGCTGCCCCGGAACGGGGCAACCCAAAGGCCCGGTTACTGACCATACTTACTAGGGTTAAGGGTTTAGGGGTTTTGGTTTAGGGTTTAGAGTTTATGGTTTAGGGGGTTTAGGGTTTAGTAAGTTTAGGGTTTACTACGGTCTCCGTTGTAGTTCGGTTATTTCTGGTTGAACTACTATTGCCTTCAGGCTCCAAATTAAGCAGCGCCCAAGAAAGGAGTTAGAGCGGAGAGTATTGGTACAAGATGTCACCCAGTAACCTTTGGGTAAAAGAGCGTAAGCGACATGTTGATGATGACGTCCATGGCCATTACCCTTCTTAACCCTGTATGGCTCTCTTAAACGGGACCTTGTTGACAGGATCTATATCCCCAAGGGTCCCCCTACTCCTAGCCCCTAGGTCCATGGCCATCAAGTGTCCCTCGGTGGACTACCAGCTCGTCGGGGCAAAGAAGGCTTGCGTGAGGGCGCCAATGCATCCGTGAGTCTCCAGACTGACGTAGGTAGGCCTTTGGAAGATGTTATGTTTTCCCATGTTGGGCTTACATACCAGGATCTTACTTACTAGCACTTTTGGGCTGAAGAGCATCTTATTTATTATGATTCATAGTTAATTATCAGCGGCTTTAAAGGGCCCACGTAGTACTGGGCGACTCGTAGCGGTCTTGTAGGGTTTGCCACGTAGGAAGTACCGGGATGCAGCTTCCTGCAGGGGTTTAGGGTTCCGGGTTTAGGGTTCCGGGTTTAGGGTTTAGGGTTCAGGGTTTAGGGCTTAGGGTCAGAGATTAAGGTTTAGCGATTCTGCAGGTTTTGAGTTCGTGGGAAGCAGGTGCAGCAAGCACTCGCTCGGCCCGGCGCCGTCGAGAGGCATGGAGACTTGGTTCGTTAGCGGCTCAACTGGTGGTTTAGGGTTTAGGGTGTAACGCAAGGGCGAGTACAGGGCTATCAACACAATTTGGGTTTTGGGTGTAGGGGGGTTCATACATGCACTGTATTGTGTCCGTGGGATTGCAGCAAAGACTCCTGGGGTGGTGACTTTCGTATCGGCATTACGAAGCTGCATTTGTGGAGGGGTTCGAGAAGTTCAGGGCAGAGGAGTTTGCGGTTGAGGGCCGGTTTATGGGTCCTGTTTCGAGGTTTCGTTTGCTGTCTTCGTTTAACAGCTGAGCCCCAAAATTGAAGCCAACGGATCTTGGCGCCCTCTCTCCCTTGACGACATGAACGCCACAAGGGTAATGCACCATATAGGGGTTCATATTTTCAAAACGGCATAAGTATGGGGCCCTTGCTTTTAAGGGT